TATCAAACTGAATATTAAACATATCTTAATTCCAATTAAAGTAATGGGTAGGCCGACAATAGCAAGGATGCAAACCCTGAACAGTAGTAGCAGAGGCGCAAACCCCGCAAGAAGGACGTGGCGCAGTTGTGTCTAGATCCACTTTATATTGCGGTAGGATAGACATTGTTTCCACATTGTGCGAGAGTTGGTAATCTATACTCGTCTTTATCAATGAATCCCACTACTCTTAGCTCTATTTGCGTGATTTGGTTTAAAAAGCCACCAGTTTTACCACATTTAAACTTGCAGAATCCCAGTGTTAAAACGCAACTATGCCGACTAATGGCAAACTTTACCAGTTTATAAACTGCAACATTCTTAGCGACCACAAAATAATTCAAGAAGATATTTGGGTGAGAAATGGTAAAATTGTTGACCCAGAAAAGATATTTTTCGATGAAAAAATAAGTGCTGATGTTAAAATCGATTGTGCAAATAAGCTGATTGTTCCCGGTTTTATAGAAATTCAAAGAGTTTAGGGAGTTTAGATAATATTCGAATAGTAACTTTAGCCCCGAAATTGCTATAGTCGGTCGGTAATAGGAGCCTTGAGGCAAAGAAACATTGTTGTTTTGTTGGGTAAGAATGAGGCTGCTTTTATTAGTAACGATAGGTTTCATCTTAAATACCATTTCTTTTTAAATGTTTTCAGTTATATTTTGAGAAGTGGACAATGTTGGGGTCGGTGTCAAAGTTTTCGGAAAAAATCTAAGCATCCAGACAATTAATTTCCATTAATAATAACAAATAGTAGTAGGTATAATATACAATAAATAAATACACAAAAAATACAAAACTTGGGCCAGGAGGAAACACTCGATTGTTGGTGCTGTGGCTTTCGTTTATATATTTTATCTTGACTAATTGAAAAAAAATATCCGATGGTATGTATCTTTCTGAAGCCCTAAGTCAATTTGAATATTTTGGGCTAATTTGAAAGAAAATTAGAAAGCCTATTGTTGGGTGTAGTTTTATATGTGAAATTAATCAGCCATACGATGAAGTTGTTTAAATAAATGAAATTTAAATTTAAATTAACCGTTCCGTACAATTTTTACTAATTGCTCCGTTTTAGTAAAATACTAGTAATTTTCTAGTTTATTCATCTCACGTTCTAAATTAACAAGATGTGCATCTGATCCATTTATAAACAACTTTCTTCCTGCTGTTTCTTGAGGCAAATGGGATTTTTACCCCTTATGGCTCATGAGACATTTTTTGGGCTTAGAAGCTTCATTAAGTTATCGATCTGCGTATCGCAATGTTCAAAATTGAAAACTAAATAGATAACAAGAGTTTTACCCCACATTCAAACCGCGTTAAATTGAGAAGATCTGCYAATATTAACGTTATAATAAAAATATGAGCAAAGAAACTCCGAATTTACTATGCAAATCATTTAATTAGGGCATACAATGGCCGATTTGGTCCAAAGTGARGAAGCGGTTTTGAATGGTGCCAATCTAATAACTCATCTAKTTAATGCCATGTTGCCTGTAAGTAAAGAATCRTCTAATTCCAAACCTGCTCAGTYATCAAACCCCGCTCTAATCTCTTTTAGTTTCATCACAGAGACCCGGGTTTAGTTGGGTTATTAGCGTCWAAAAAAATTCCTGAGAAGAATCCCGTATTTTTTGGCATAATAGCTGATGGTATTCACACTCATCCTGCTGCTCTAAGAATTGCTTACCGGGTCCATCCTGACGGTATGTTCAAAGGATAAATTACCCTACCGGTCCTCATTTCGCGGCTTTGCGGCCCATTTAGGTTTGATATTAGTGACTGATGCAATATCAGCGCTGGGCTTACAGGCTGGTCAGCACAAAATTGGCCAACTGGACATTGAGGTGAAAGATAACAAGGCTTTTATTGCGGGCACTTCTACTCTTTGTGGAAGCGTAGCTTCAATGATTCAATGTGTTCGGAATTTTATCAAATCTACAGGTGAACTGGACGCTTGCTTCGAACTGGGGTGATTATTTCACCCGAGTTCCATGAAAATGCGAATGAATCAATTTTTAGGTTGCTCGCCCGAGTATGCTTTTGAAGCAGCAAGTTTTCACCCTGCGCTAGCTTTGGGTATTGAAAAAAATAAAGGGTCGCTCAGTTACGGAGCAGATGCGGATTTTATAATGCTAACGGATGACTACGACATATCCTCCACTTGGATAGATGGAGAATGTGTCTACAGTGAGGGTGGAATGTAATAATTTTTTCATTCTTTAAATTAATTTTAAGAGTTATTCTAAATTGAAGGACCAGCTGATGTTAGTAAGATGTATTTTTTTATTACTTTATAAAGAAAAAGTGGATGATTTAAATAAATAATGCTATGACTTATAAAAAGTTATTTTTTGCTTAAACGCTAGTTCCTAGGCGGGCCTCGTCTGCTTCGAAATTCCATGGAGCTACCTGCAACCAACCTTGCCTATACCATCCACTTACTTCCATTTTACACCTCTTACCTGCAAAACTGTTTGGATAATTGCTGTTCGGGCTTCGAGAGTTATTGGGTGCAAAGCAGTCCTGCTTCAACACTTCCTCGATGTTCCCATATCCTTTGAATTGAACGGCAAAAGTAT